TGACGTGGTATTAGTATCGAAAGCTCCAGTCCCGAGACATAGGTGAGCTGGCATGGTAATGTTAGCCTCGGTAGCATTCTGTGTTCGTAGAGAGTAACCAACGGAATAATACCCTAAAATGGTTTGTGGAGCATCGTCTAATTTATATAGATCAATCTTACGTGTGGATAGAGTATGCCAGAATGGTGCTTCGACGGCTGATGAAAATGGCACGAACTGAACAAGATTGGAAGACATTTAAGTTGTATATTGTATATTTCACTAGCCGTTTCACTGGCCTTCTATATATTTCAAATAAATTTCAGCCAATCAGGTTTGCAGTTTGCGGTTATATCCGTCAAAATCCAGGGTTTGTCGATCTTTAGTCACGTTGTTACACGACATGCAACGTTAAATTAAGAAAGACGCGTCATTTGTAAAATAAATATTTTGATTTTTTTGGCTTGCAACCAACGTTCGATTCTGTAATCTTTTTGGAAATAATTTTGAATCAGGAAGTGAAAACTTGAACCAGAAGAATAAAATATATTTTTTAAGATTAGAAGGCGAAAAGCAGTAGTAAATGCACTTGCAAAAAAAAAAAAAAGATAGATTGCACAGAAAAAATGTAAGTTATTGTTGAATTTTTGATTATTTTTAGATAAGAGAGCTGTTATAAGCTCTAAATATAATACGGAATTTACTTTTCATGTTTTATAAAATTTAAGCTGCTCCAAATTGATTCTATATTTAATATCATTTTTAATATTTTTTTTTTTAAAAAAAAAAAAATTTATATAAAAATCAACACAGTATTGGCTTTTTGGATTTTTTATATTTTTACAGCCAATAGGATTACTGCATTTTTGGTACTTGCCTTTTACGGAATATATATGGGGGTGAGTCAATAGAAAAGGGACAAATTTTTTCTAAGTAAAAGTTTTCTTAACTTTAAGCTTAAATATTTTAACAACTATTTTATTAAATTTGATAATTTTTTTTATTTTAATTTTATATAATTTCAAGATTAAAATAAAAAAATTTTTAGCAGATTTGATTAAATAGTTGTTGAGTTATTTAAATTTAAAAATTAAAAAAATTTCACTAAAAATGATTTGTCTCTTTTCTATTGACTCACCTCCATATATATATTTTTTTATGTTAAACACAGAATTAACTTGAAGTGGTTTTATTTGTTTTTTTAGCACTGCTACTTTTTGTGTTAGGTTATGCTAATTATTGGTCTAGATTGATCGACATTGGTCCTCATTAAGCAATTTTGGGATTAGCATTAAGCTGGTTTAGGTTAGGGTTAAATGAAAATTTAAAGTAAAACTTTTTATCAAAATTATAAAAAAACAATATTTTTTTTATTATAGCATAAAAAACTGGTTTATAGGCAAAATTTTGACCTTTTTCTTAATTTTGTCGTTCGTGATCGATATAACCTGGCACAGAAAGTAGGGGTGCGTTTTTTTAAACGACCTTTGCTTTATCACAAAAAATAGTTCACCTTTTGACCAATCGAATTTTAAAATCAGGTGTGACGTAAAAATTGAACGGGCCACTTTTTTTTTTTTTTACAAAAAAACGAAATTCGTGAAATTCTACTAATAGCCGTTATATTTTCTAACGGTAAGGCGGTTTTCTTAGATTTGCAATTTTTTACATAGAAAACAAACCAAGTTTGTTTTGACTATTACATTATACCTGATCTTAAATGTTGATTGGTCAAAATTACAATTTTTTGTAAGAACGCTATCTAAGATTTTATCAGATGAATGTTAGAAATACAGTCAACCCTTCCAAAACCGGTATGTTTGGTGGATCAGTTTTGAGAGGTTATTGGATTTGAGAAACAATAAGCCTACCAGTTACATGTTTACAAATCAAGTTGATTGGATAAATTATATTTGTTACAAGCCGGATTTGCTATTTCGATAATATATCTATGTACTAATAAATACATTTTTCAAATATCGGTTACCAGAAATATCAGGTTATCGGATTTGAATTATGGAACGGATATGGTTAATCAATTTTGACAGGTTATCGGTTTGAGAAGGTAAACTGTATTTATATTTTAAACACGATATTATGGATTAAGTGGTCTACTGGTTCTAGATGAAGAGTTAGTTATGAACCTTCTTTAGTATATTTATAATATCAATTTTGCTTGGTACGGAGTTGTCATTTTCTTATACGTTTTTACTGAGTGAGTAAAAACTAGAAAGTCGAAAGCTCATCGTGGCCACAGTTGCAATATACTGTGAACTTTCGGCTAAGTAGATAACAACTTCACATATATATTAATTAAAAGTCTGAGAATTGAAAGCACGTCGTGGTCACAGTTGCAAATACTGTGAACGTTCTTTCCGGTCGCCCTGGACAGGAGTAAAAGTTCAAATTATTTTAAGCTAGGTTTAAATTGAACTCATCTTTACATAATATAAAAATTTAATTATTACTTTAACTTACTAATAATTGATTTTTTTTAATTAGAACTAGATATTGTGAATGTGGATGCTTGGTTGGTGTAGTATAGTGATGCGGTAGAATTGTCCCAATGAATTTTACGACATACAACTAGTTCCGACAAAAAACTATATACTTCATAGCTTTAATTTCTCGCTTATTATTCTTCTTTATTGTTAATTAGTTTCATTTGGCCGCCAAAATAATTTACCTAGAAAATAAGTTAGACAATAAGTTAAGCAGATTTGAGCTTTTAACACAAATCAGAATTAAATATAATTTAATTTAATTCAATTCAAAAATAACTTTTTTGAGGTTACAGTATTCTATTTTAAAAAGCATTTTATAAATGGCACATCAATTCGGCTTTAATCCCTAACCATAAAAAATTGGCCCTCTTTTGTCCAGAAAAATATGTTTTCCTCAAATTTTAGGAAAAGCACTCAGAATAATTAACCTGCAAAAATTGATTGACTCAAATGATTCGATTAATTTAAATAATGAATAGAATTTGTTACAAACATAAACATTGATCTATCTTTTTCTTCATTCATCCTTACCTTTTGTATCCCTTTTTAATTGGTCATCTTTGCGGTTTTGTCCCAAAACTGTATAGTTCTCTCCAAAGAATACTAGCATTGATTAACCTGAATCTTGTAACATGCCGTAACAATGTTTTTCACCTATGCCTCTTGGGAACTTCATACCGGCTTTAATGTATACTAGCAACGAACAAAGAAATATCACATCAATAGAAAGATAAGGAAGCCTAGATTCTTTGGAGTGCGATGTGATTACACGATCATTCCAACCTAAATTTAAACAATCGAACGTGTGGCTAGGACAATTTTATTTATAAAAGGGTTTGATATTTGTTATGGTGGCTGTAACGAGCCTAAAGACCGTTTTTATGTGGCCTACAACATAAGATTCGTTACATACATTGATTCCTTGTCGATATTCTATCTACATCTAACAGCGGCTAAAATCAATTAAAAGCGAATGTATTCAATGTTTATATAATATCTTTATTATAAAAACGTTAATATATTGCACTTACTTCTTAAGTCAAACTTCCGAACTACCTTGATTAAACGCTTCATAGTGACGTGAATATCTAGCAAGTAACTCGTCTGCACTCTTGTCGTGCTTTCAAAATGTTATAATTCCTAATAATATATATAGGGACGATGCTTTTCTGCGGTGACAATGACAATTCCGTCCGTGACAAAGGATGATTCTGCAAAAATTCTGCGATTGGCTGGAATTACGTAAAGTCGGCCAGCATTATTATCCGCAAATTCTGGCCGAATTGATATCAGCCTGCATTATGATGACAGTAGACCCTAAATCCAGACCAAATTTTAAAAAATGATTTGAACCAATTCCGTGATTTTCTGCAAAATTCGGTGAATGCAGAAATACATCGTCCCTGAACGGTCCTGCAATTTGGAATAACTGGTCCAAAGTCAAGATATTTAAAACAAATCAAAATACATATCATTACCTTAGAGTTCCAATCCTATTATCCGTTTATCCATTTATCTATCGGATATCCAGATCTGAATATATTTGGATTTCCGTTTTACTATTGATATTCGGATAATTATCCGAATATTTGTAGTAAATGGATATCCTGATTGGAACTCTACCATTGCCTTTTACATCGAACCAAAAAAAAATTGCCATGCTCTAACTCAATAATTCAGTAAAATTTGTTGGGGAACATATCAGATCTTCTATAATTATATTTGATGGAGGCATTAAGTTTAGGATTTCATCTTTACATTGGCAAACTTGTTAAAGTATAAGAAAAACTTAAATATGACTCATAAATAACGTGATCAAAAATGTTTTAAAAAAACAAGGATGCATATACATAAGTGCGTACCATTTCCATCTTTTTGTTTGTGGACTAGACCTTAATTCTAAATATTTTACCAATCATGGGCAAAAATTATGAATTATAGGTTCAGCAACATAACCAATAGATTCTTCATCGACAATTTAAATAAACACAATAAAATTAAGGATTTTTAATCTTAAAAAAAAAACGGTATGCAGAGATTTCTTAATGTTTTTAAATAATGATTTATACTTAGATCATTTATCTTAATTTGGACTTTAGTATTTTTTCTGATTAATAATGCTCCTGGATTTATAAACCATTGATATGTGCTTATATCTTATGAACATTTGTACAAATATTTGAGGTGAATTATATTAAAAAAGTATAATTTTCGATAAATCCGAAAAAAAATTAAAACCATTTAAAAAAATGATAAAACAATTTTACTTCGTACTATAGTTTATCAGGAAATGATAATCTTGATATAAAGTTGTATGCATCATTTACACAAGATCGTGAGAAATGTATTGGAGCAACATCATAAAAAAAATACCCGATACTTTTTACAGATCAACATTTACTGTTAGTAATATAAATTATTTATTTATAAGCTAATTAGACGGAGACTACATTAAAGATTTCTAAAGGCTACGATTTCCTACACAGATCGCTGGCTATTTTTTTAAGAAAATAAAGAATGGCCTTCCAGAGTATGCTTAATGGAACAGAATGTTCTGGATCTAATCCTTTGACCGGAATTCTAAAACAGTTTACGGATGATAAATCAATTCAAAAGGTAATTATATTTATCTTTAGTTTCATAAAATTTTAAAATAACAATTGTTTTTTTTTATTTATAATATAATATAGGATTCCTTCATTCAAGATGTAGAGAGGGCAGGAAGTAGTTCGGTTGGTAAACTAATTTTGTTAGCCGTCAAACAACAACTCATTTAAATTTCTGCTTTTAGTTTCGCACGATAAAGCCAGACATAAATCTTCAAGATCAGAAGGTAAAAAAGATTTGCATCAAATTAAAATGGCCAATATGTTGTCAAATATATAACGTTAAGACCATGTTGAATTAGCTTGTCGCAGAATTCTTTGACCAACGAGACAATTCTATAATACATCACGTACCAGAGTTTGTAGATCCAAGAGCACAAAGTACTATGAATTTTTATTTAATCATTTTAATAGACATTATTATTTGATCTAATGTTACCTTTTTTGAAACAACCTAAACCAATAGACTGGGCGTTAGAATACCAAAATGCTCACGATGCTCCACAGACATGGAAGTTGGGACCGCTGGAAGAGGCAGAAATGGAACAGGCTTTTAACAGAATGAACATCCACGGTATACTAATGCATTAAACAATATTTCTTTATGTATATATATATTTTATTAGACATATAATGTTAAATCGAATACCATTTAAACTTTAATAGCTAACTGGAATTCAGAATTCTTACAAAACCCTGAGTCAAATGTAACACAATTACATGAGGTTCCACCGGAATTTGAAGCTACATTTCAAAAGTATTTCGATTGGGCAAATGAATATGCATTAAACCAAGATAAAGGAAAAGGAAAAGAAAAAATTGTTGAGCTTGATTCCTCTTGGAATGAACAATTTGCTGCCGCACAACGGGATGCTGAACATACTGACAATTCTACAGATGATAAAAACTTATTCAAGGAATTTGAGGACATTTGGGCTCAATTTCAAAACAATTATGATGATTTAGAAAATTTTAATCAAGATAGCAGTATGTATTTTGGAAAATATGACTTTGAACAAGACAATCCTTATTTACTACACGAAGATCCTTTCCAAGAGGGTTTAAGATTAACAGAAATGGGAGGAACACTATCAGAAATAGCTTTGGCCTTTGAAGCTGCTGTTCAAAAAGATAATAACAATTCAGATGCATGGATGTGGCTAGGTACTATCCAAGCACAAAATGAAAAAGAGGAAGCTGCAATCAAAGCTTTGGAAAAAGCCGTTGAAGTAAATAAAAACAATTTAGCTGCATTAATGGTACGCAATCAATTTACTATATTTTGTATTTATCTTATATGAAGTTTAATAATTTAAATATCATTAAATTTTAGAGTCTTGCCGTCAGTTATACCAATGAAAGTTTGGATCAACAAGCATATCTTACACTTGAAAGGTGGCTTACTGCAAAATATCCTGATGTTGTAACAAGGTCGGCACCTATGCCTAATGTCGATAATCACTCTCGTGTCACTCAACTTTTTATATTAGCGGCACGTGAGGCACCAGAGGGTCAAGATATGGATCCAGACGTTCAAGTTGGATTAGGTGTACTATTTTACGGCAAGGGAGAGTTTGACAAAGCCGTAGATTGCTTTGTGTCGGCTTTAAATATTCGAAAAGATGTAAATTATTTACTTTTAGTTTTCAATTATGATTAATAAATAATTGTTTATTAATTGAAATTATCTTTTGCAACAGGATTATCTTTTATGGAACAGATTAGGGGCTACTCTGGCGAATTCTGGCAAATCGGAGGATGCAATTGAAGCTTACCATAAAGCATTGGAAATCAAACCAACATTTGTTCGTGCACGTTATAATTTAGGTGTTAGTTGTCTTAATATTGGTTGTCATCGTGAAGCAGCAGAACATCTACTTGGCGCTTTAAGTATGCACCAAACTGGATTAAATAGTGAAAATGTTAAAAATGTTAGTAATAGTCTTAAGGACACATTAAACAGGACATTTAGAATGATGGTTGGTACTATTGTTTATTTAATGTTATTTCCTATGTAATCGTATGATTTCAGTATGTATAATTTTTTTTTCTTCATTTGATATTTTCAAGGAACGAGAAGATTTATGTGAAAAATTAAGAACCAATTCAGATGTAAACCAATTTCGGGATGAATTTGAATTTTGATCCTGTATTTATTGAACTGGATAATAAAGATTTTGTAAAATACGAAATTTACATGCATTCATAGTAAGTCAAAATTAGTAATGGACTGTAAAAATCCTTATTCGAAAGTAAGTGCCGAACGGTGGACATGACCAAACTACCTTTACTTTGAGAAAACCATTGTTCATATTCAAAAACAAATGAGATTTAACTCAAATAGACAATATTCAAAACCGATTTATTTTTTCGACTAGTTACTTTATACTACTAAAATTATCTAGATTATGAAAAAGTAGTTACTGTAATATAGTATTTCTGCTAGTTTCCGAAATACTACATTAATAATTAGAAATACTGTTATTAAGTATAGCGAAAAATGAGGTGGAAATAATTCTTATTAATTTAATGATCTTTAATGAGATTTTAACTAATTTTAAATATTCCTTTTAATAAATGAAATAACTATTGGACAATTCATATTGTAATATGTTTAAATCAGAAAATTAATTTGATAATAATCCGAAACAGTCAAGCATTAAGTTTTGAACGATTCGCGAATTTTATTGGTTCCAGCAACTCGGCGGGGCCGGAATTAACTAAAGTTTTAAAATTTTACGACCGGGGTAAAATCGCCACCCAAAATATTAACATAATTGATTTTAGTAAGTGATTTTTTTTCTTCGATTCTTTAAAGTGAAAAGTGATCGTTAAAAGCATAAAATCCAATAAACACACTATTCTAAAAATATATGTTGATTGCCGTAACCAAATTTCCATTAACAATAAACGAAAAATGAATGAAAATCGAAATAAATTATAAAAACTAATCAAGAAAATGCAATTGAACCAGAAAATCTTGTAGAATAAAACAAATAGTAACAAATGGCTAATAAAAACTTTGTGCTATTGCATAAATTGGACAATTATAATCATTTTTAAAAGGCAATGGAATACATTCTGGCTATAACGATAACGATAACGATAATAAATAATACCGATACGTTTATTGATATATTTGTCCGAAACTTGATTTTACCCCGGTCAAGTTTTACTAATGAAGTCATGACCCACTCATTAAGTAAAGCTGCCCAGCTGATAATTTTGGTAACTTGTATTGCTAAATGCCAGCCTAAGGCCATTCCAACTAATGAAATGATCGACAAGTCTAAAGGGTAAAACCATGAGATTTTGATTGGTTAAACCATTCTTACCCCCTATATTTGAGGGCCTAAAATCTGATAAAAAATGTGTTAAGTTCAAATTAGTATGATTGCGATTCTTCTAAGTTTAGTATATAAACAACCTATAGAAAACCTAAACTAACTTTACCCGACCCTAATTACATGTAATTTTGATCATGTGAATCATATCGACATGCAAATAAACATAAAATTACTGTTCCGAACGTATTTAATAGATACTTTCATAATTTTGGTAAAGTTACGTAAATTTCAATGCATAGATGACTGGTTTTGATTGGTCAATAATCACGCTTGGATCTCTCAAAAAAAAAAAAAATCGGGGAATTATTAGATTCTTCCTCCTTTATTCCAATACTAAATTAACATAATGGTAAGAATTGCATTCTTTCTGATATTAAAACCGTTATAAGCATCGGTCATGTCATAATTAAAATGTACTCTAGGGTAAAGTCCATGGCTCACTTGCTCGAGCCGGTAAAGTTAAATCTCAAACTCCTAAAGTTGAGAAGCAAGAAAAAAAAAAAAAGAAAACCGGTCGCGCAAAAAAAAGAATTTTGTATAATCGTCGATTTGTCAACGTAGCTAATATTGGAAAACGAAGGGTGATTATTTATTCATATCTTAGTGAAACTTAAAATTTTTATTATTTAATTTGATTATTTAAGCATTTTATTAATTTCACTTTTCAGATGAATCCTGCTCCAACGTCAGATAAACCTTAAAATAAGGTGGATCAGTCTTCGTAAGATCAGTGTCGGACGGTAATGAACAAAAGACCAAATGGTTCTTATAATTGTCCGGTCCAGCTCAGATTATAGCCTAGGTTGAAAAAAAATATATCAAAGCTGTTAAACCAATAAAAAAATACAAAAATAATACTTTCAAAGTGATAGGATTTTCTAATTATTAAATTGTTTATAACAAATTGTTAAATTAATAATTCTTTTCCATCGATTAATAATTGAATTACCCAAATGCATAGAAGACATCGACAGAGTGGTATTAGACGCTGGACTCGTCGTTGAATGACATTTGAATAAAGAAGTGTCGCGGATTATCATGAGGGCTGCCCAACATTAGGCACTCACGTGAATTTTATTTAGAGTTTTTGCATATTGTGAAAACATGAAAAAATTCGTGCCAGATTTTGATCATTGTGCGCAACACAATTTTTAAAGTTCATTAATGGTAGGGTTAGCATTTAGAGTAAAGTAAAAGTGCTCAAGGAAACTTTTTTGTTAGAGCATTAAAAGTGGTTTTGTATGTGGTTTTTTGAGAAATAAGTAATTTTTGACAAAACGAACGTGTTTTGAACTTTCTTAATTGTGTTACGTTACACCCGATCCTTGAAATATGATTTGTAAATGTGAGATCTGCGTCATATGCCTATATTTTTCATGTTTGTTTATGATAACTATGGCTATGGAAGTGAAAACAGCAAATAGAGGAAAGATATCGCTTAAAGGCTCTACTAAATTAATAGTAGAATTCTTTGGTAAACTAATTTAAATTATAATGATTAGTGCGATCTAATTTTATCTCTAACTACCAACGAAATATAGAATTTTCTTTGACTAGGTAAAAATATTATATTCGATGGTATATTTGATTTTTTTTTCAATGCTAAAGTGCATTATAGTATTTTTTTTCAACGTGGAGTTTATCCCGCTGAAGACTTTAAATGGGTAAAGAAATACGGACTAAATGTTTTAATGACACTCGATGATAATGTTAAACTGTATTTAAAGAGATTGTTAAATCAAATAGAAAGTAAGTGATATAATTAAATTGTAGTTGTAATTTTCCTTTTCTTCATATACAATACTTATTATTATGAAATTATTTAGGTTGGTTGATGGCTGGCAAAGTGGATAAGCTTGTTCTGGCAATCATCTCATGCGAAACACGCGAGACACTCGAAAGATGGCAATTTGAAATTGAAGTTATTGATGAAAATAAAACACAAGACATTTCCATGTAAGGTTATTTGCTATAAGATGTCAAAATCAATAACAGTTACATCTTCTACATGATTAATATTAATTGTTATAAAGAAGAAAAGACAAATCATATGAAGAAATACAAAAAGAAATTCAAGGAATTATTCGTCAAATAACTGCCAGTGTTTCATTTTTACCAGTCTTAGAAGATAAATGTATGAAAAAAATATAAACTTAGTATTTTGTATGACAACATAATTTAACTAATTTTTTGATTGAACAGGCACTTTCTCTATATTGGCATACACTGATAAAGATATCGAAGTGCCAGCTGAATGGAGAGATGGTGATCCGCATCTTATACCAAATGCTGAACAGGTTAGACTTCGTTCATTTTCGACGATGGTACACAAGGTGCATGCACAAGTTGCATATAAACTGGGTGACGAAGTCTAGGGATGTTGTAGCTTAGGTTCTAAAACCTTTAGGTTTCAAATTAAAAACTTAAGAATTAAGTTTTATATACTATGACTCAAGTTAAACCTGGTTATGTTATATAAATTAAATTTTAAAACAATGGTTGTAAATAAAAAAGTATTAAAAGTTAATTTATTTCAAGCTTTTATAAAATATATACAAAATTTCAGACCAAGTTGGTTACTAAGGCTAATTGTTAAATTTATTAATAAAAGTTTTATAAAAATTACATTTTTATATAATTTAATTTTTTGGATTTTTTTTGGCAATTTTGTATTTGGTTATTATAATACAATACTTTTTATATGACCTTAACACAAAAAAAAAAAAAACAATACTTTTATATGCATGTTCTTCTAACTTAAAGACTTACCTGACTATAATGCCTAAGTATAACCCCGTCTCAACAACGGCTAGTCTTTTTCAGGATTCTTAACTAAGAATTTTATATGCATAAGATATATATACTTTTTCTGATTAACAACTAGTTATTTTAATAAGTTATTTTGCATGATTTTGGTAATTTTTTTTGTAAACTTTCTTATACGTATAGTATTTTGGATATTTTTTTTTTTTGTTAAGCTTTTTTTTTTCTATAATTAAATGAATCTTTTTTTAAGCTTTAATTTGATTTTAATAGTAATATAATTATTAAAATTAGTTTAGTTATTGGTATTTGTCTTTCATAATTATATATTTAAAATTTTAGTATTTCAATATTATATATATATATATAATTAATACTTTTCAGATTACAATAATTATTTTAAATACTAAAAAAATATTAAAAATATACAATTATATATACAACAAGAACTTCATTCAAATTTGATTATTTAATGCTTTACTATGGCCAGTTTATAAAATAAATCAATTATTTTATAATACTCTTTAAATGATATAATTATTTCATATAAATCATTGAATAAAACCGTTATTGCATGTTCCTGTATGCATCAACTGCTGTATTTTATTTTATGTCTCCTCTGATCGTTCGGTAACCTAACTGGTATGAAAAAAAAGTGGTCAACACAATCTTTTATTTAGGCAATAAAATGTATTTTTATTTTATCCATTCCATGTTTTTGGAAGACTCTTCGCACGCTTCTATCATTATCATTTTTTTAAATCAATATTTGGGGTATGTGTATATCCAATAACCTCTATGTGAACAAAGTATATTATATTCTGAGGTTTTTTTTATAATTGTCTACAGTTTCTAGTCTTAGTATCTTCCTTGTCCGCTTCAGCTATATTATTATATTTCAGAAATAGCTGAATTCGTATTGTATTATCTCGAAATAACGCCCCTACTGCACTAAAAAAAAAAAAATTTTAAACCCTGCAATTTCCGACCTGGCCGGAATATGAAAACCAAAAAAATGTTTTTATATCGCCCTAGGTTAAAAAATCTTTTCAAAATCCGCATTTAGAACAATGAATTTTAACAGTTTGTTCAATAACCATCGTAATGCTTTGAGCAACATCTCGATCACCATTGAGGGGAACACTTAGCCGATTTAGTACCGATTTTTAGGATAAGAACATGATTTTTATTGGATACGTATTAAAAATTTGTCTGCGAATACCTTATCGTTATGGTGTAATGATTAGACAATGCATACAAATTTGTATGTTTAAACGTTAAAGGGATAAATAACGATAATGATTAGCGTTAGCACTATTTGATAACGATATATTGAATATATTAAGATCTACAAATTTCACGTGTAAATCTAATTGCTAATAATAAATAAATATAAGCTTAAATTTGAAATGTAACCTTCTTGTTAAAGTTTTTTTTTTTCCTAATATCGAAATGCCATCATACATCGGTGCTATCGATCAAGGAACAACTTCTTCTCGTTTTTTGATTTTCGATGAAAATGGAAAAATTGTAGCAATTCATCAAATTGAATTCCCTCAATACTATCCTCATCCTGGGTAAATTATTATTGTAACGCTGGAAGTCTTACAATTTTGTTTCAAGTTTTAAATTTTGCCAGTAAACTCGTTCTTATAATAAACTTTACAATACTATCAATACAATTTTGAAAACTTTGTTTTTATATTGAGTTAAAATTGAAACAATGTGTTAGGCTTCCAACCATATATTATCTTACAGCGTGGACCATACCCCCTTCGAAAAAATTATATGGTGGAATGTAATATACTCGGATATAATATAGGGAACACCTACGTTATATCAATTGATTTTTATTAATGGTAAAAAGAAAAAAATTGCCAAGTATAATACCCGGGTACTAACTTGGATTTATCCGTGGAATGTATCGAATCCGGGGTACTATGGTCCGCACTGTACGGTAATAACTTTTATCAATCAAATGTTTGGATTTTTCTCTAATTAAAATTTGTTTTTTTTTTACAGATGGATTGAACATAATCCAAATGAAATTTTAGACACTGTTTCAAAATGTGTTAATGATGCCATTAACCAATTTTTAAATGATAAAACTCGTTCTATTAAAGATATCAAAGCCATTGGTATCACTAACCAACGTGAAACATTTATTGCATGGGATAAAAATACTGGAAAACCTCTCTATAACGCTATTGTTTGGTGTGATGTTCGCACTCTTGATTTAGTTCATAATTTGACTGAACAAATTGAACACGGCGTTGATATATTTAGGAAGTCATGTGGGTTGCCAATATCCACGTATTTTTCGGCTGTGAAATTGTTGTGGATGATTAAAAATGTTCCTGCTGTAAGAGATGCTCACAATAATGATACCCTTTTAGTTGGAACTGTTGATACTTGGCTAATTTGGGTATTATTCTATATTTACCTTTACACTCCTCAATATTATACGTATATATATATATATACTCATAATAATAATATTTTTGCTTATCCTTATTTATAATCTATAACATTAAAGAATTTAACCGGTGGAATCAATGGGGGTTTACATATCACTGACGTCACAAACGCCTCTCGTACTATGTTCATGGACCTTAATACTTTAGAATGGAATCAACACATCCTTGACTTTTTTAATGTTAAAAAATGTTGTCTTCCTAAGATATGCTCATCTTCCGAAGTCTATGGTCACATTAAAATAAGAGATACTGAAATTCCAATCGCTGGAATTTTGGGTGATCAACAAGCTGCTTTAGTGGGTCAAAAATGCTTTAAAAGTGGTGAAGCTAAAAACACTTATGGTACTGGTTGTTTTATGTTATTTAACACCGGTACTACCCCTTTTTTTTCAAAAACCGGTCTACTCACAACCGTTGGATACAAATTTGGCAATATGCCTCCTGTTTATGCTCTAGAAGGCTCCATAGCCGTTGCTGGCTCTGCTATCAAATGGCTTCGTGATAATTTAGGCATTATCAAAGAATCTAAAGATATTAATTCCCTTGCTGCTTTGACCCCAGATACTGGTGGTGTATATTTTGTTACTGCCTTTTCTGGTCTTTATGCTCCTTATTGGCGTGATGATGCTCGAGGATGTATAGTTGGAATTACTCAGTATACAAAAAAAGAACATATTGCTCGTGCAACTCTTGAAGCTACTTGTTTCCAAACTCGTGCAATTTTGGACGCTATGAATAGTGATTCTGGTCATCCTTTAACTTACCTAAAGGTTGATGGTGGTATGACTGTTTCGGATTTGTGTATGCAAATCCAAGCTGACATTCTTGGAATAGATGTAGAGCGTCCTGCCATGAGAGAAACAACCGCATTGGGTGCAGCTATTGCTGCTGGTCTTGCTGTTGGCGTTTGGAAGTCTTTAAGTGATCTGGATAAAGTTAATAGCAATGATAATGATGTTTTTAAACCTCAAATCTCTTCAGATAATTCTACACAGAGATATCAACTTTGGCAAAAAGCTGTAGAGAAAAGTTTTGGTTGGGCCTAAACAATTAAATTAGTAAATTCATCATAATAATATAATGATTAGAATAATAAATAAATTTGGATTTTATTCTTAAATAAGCCATGCAGTGTTAGCACTGGACATATGTCCAACTATTTTTTATACAGTTGGACTGGACATTGGACATAATACGTCCAGTCCAATATGTCCAATAATTTTAAAAAATAAAAGAATTTTTTGATAAAAATTTTACCAATTTCTAACCCTAATATAAATGCTTTTTATGTATTTTATCATTATCACATGATCACGCCTTTCTGTGTGATACTGGGGAAGTTTTTTGATTGGCTATTTGTCACATGAGTGTATTGATTTATATAAGAGGGGTTGGGTTGGAGTGGGTTGGGTTGAAATATTCCCCAACCCACTCCAACTTGGGTTGGGTTGAAATATTCCCCAACCCACTCCAACTTGGGTTGGGTTAACTCTGGAGCCACTCCAGGCTTGCTTACAGCTGCTCCAGTTTACTCCAGTTTCACTCCAACATATTTTTCATATTTTTAACTCACTCCGGAGTATGCCACTCCATTAACAACCCTATATATAAGGGGTCGGTTAAAGCGGAGCGAATTCAGTATATGATCTACATATTGCATAAATTGCATTCTCGATATCTATATAACCCACAAACCCTACCTGTATCAAAAAGGTAACTCTAAAACTCGCTCCACTTTAACCGACCCGTATATAAGGTAACAGCAATATTGATGGCGAAAGAAATTCGCGACCATGTGATCGCCGACGTTTCTGACCTACATAAGATCAAGGCAAGATAATCAATATGAATTGGACTAACAAGATCGTAAACTCTTTTGAATTGGATTAACAAGATCGTATAAACTTGGGATTTTACTTAACGAGAAGTCTGAAAATAAGAAGGGTAACAAAGATAAGTTATCATTATTGTGCCGAATTATGAGAATCAAGCCTATAAATTTACATTAAAAACTCAAATTTCTAACATATTTATTATTATTAGTCTATTGCAACCAAAAAATCAAAAATTTTTTTTTTAATGGTTAAAAAGTTGTTACTGTGTTCTGGTTCTTAGAACTTTGTTGCATGTAGTAATCTTATCAATAAGAGACTGTCTAAGGGTTTTATATGTTTATAAAGTTTATTATTTTTAATATTATTATTTATAAGGATGTATGACTTAGTGAATAGAGAAGTTGTCAACCTTTCAAGTGGTAGGTTGGATGTTCAAATCATATCAACAGTGAAAATTTGGATAATTACCTATATAATACTTATATTATAACAATTGCTTTCAATAATTGGGTTAGGATACCTATAATGGTAATTACACTAGTATAATTGGTAGGTTATGAGGCATTTGTGTAAGTATGGCATTATATAAAGAAATGTAAATTGATATTGAACAATACAAACTTTAGATAAGTCTTTGTAGTTATATAAATCTATTAAAATCAAAAAACAAAAAATTTATTTAGAAAGATCTAAGTAGAAAAATAGCATAGATCTTTAATGATACTATTATAAAAGCTAGTTTTATAAAACAAATATTAATATTAAAGTACCTAAACAAACAAGAATTTCTGAATTGGAAGTCTTAGAGGTACTACTAATTAGGTTACTAAAATAGATCAAAAAAAAAATATCAGACTAATCTGATATATTAATAAACTGATTGTAGTTTTATTAAATTATCTGAATTAGAAGTTTAAAGAATAAGCAGAAATATACTTAAGTATTTTAAATATAATATAAAATAGTTATTAGAGTTTAAGTGAACTTTACAAGAGTATAATAATCTAATAACTAGATTTGACAACAAGTATTGGTTCTGTCATAATAATATTAATCAGTTGTAAAAATAGGTACAGAAAGTTTTAGAAGATTTATTTTAAAAATAAATTAGTTCTAAAATTGAGTCAATAATCTGAACAAGACCCAATAATATTAATACAGATGCAGATTCAAAAAATTTAAAATAGAACATTCAAATAAAAGTATTAGATATAGCAATGAGTAATAAACCTTTAATCAAATTTTTTAAATAAGTAATATAAAAAAATTATATATATAACTAATTATATACTTTTTCTATAATAGTTTATTTTATTTTTAGTATTAAAATGACCTTTTTGGTCTTTTAACTTTTATGAATAACTTTTTTGATAATGTGATTCTATGAATTAATATAGAAGAATATATAATTAGCTATATATATAATTTTTTTATATTACTTATTTAAAAAGTTTATCTAAAAGTTCTTTACTAATTATTATACTTAACATCTTTACTTGAGTATTTAATTTTAAATTCTTTGAATCTGTAATCTGTATTAATATTACTAAATTATACTCAAATATTCAGATCACTGTTCAGATATTATAACCTTAATATCTGTTTTATAAGACTAGTCTTCATAGTAGAGCTGTCAAAGATTTGGCTATCTTTCTATTCAAATTTTTTTAAATAAACCTTTTGTTACTTAATTTTAATAGATTTATATGATCACAAAAACTTATTTAGTGTTTGTATTGCTTGATTGTCAGTTTGTATTTTTCTGATTATTAATTTGTATTTTTCTGTTCAATATTATACTTACACAAATGTTTCATAATTTGCCAGTCATGCTAATGTAACTGTTATTACAGATAACTTAATCCAATCATTAGTAACAGTTGTTATAATAATAAATATTATATAGATAACTATTCAAATTTTTTACTGTTAATAGAATTTAAACACTTAATCTAATACTTGAAAAATTAATAATTTGACTACTTTATTAGATCATCATAATTTTTCTGTAATGATTTATAAAATTACATTATCAAAAAAAGTTGTTAATAAAAGTCAAAAGATCAAAGAGATTATCTTAATACTAAAAAAAAAAAATCTTATTATTCATAATATTTATTAATATCTTAAATACTTTTATATCTAAAATTAGTTTTATTTTTCTGTTTTAATCATTATATAATATTTAAAAACTATTATATTTAGATTATAATTACTTGTTATTTTTAATTTAAGTTTTTTTTTTAACTTTAAACAGTTATACTAATACTTTATTAAGATTTTTTTTTGTTTTTACTAAGACTGGTGATTATTGGCAGTTATTGCTTTATTATGATTTAATTATAATTATATAACTTGTACAAGGTAAGTATACAACTAGCTATATATATAGCTTTTGGCTATTTATTTAAGTGGTCTATTCACAGGTTCTACACTAGTTGTTATATTTGTAATCTGCTAAAAGATTATCTAATTAAACATTCTGATATTTATATTATACCTAACAGATAGCATACAAGTTATTATATATTTAAGTACTATCTAACCTAACTCTGACCTTTCTGTTGTATATCTGTTAAGCTATTATATATTTCAGAGTACATTATTTGACTATAAACTTCAAAAACCTTTTTGTTAACTAACTAACTATTTTTAAATCTTGTTAACAAGATTCACTCTTGCAAAGTTTATCTAGATCCTAATGTCTACTTTATAACATATTTCTAGTACTTATAGTATATGCTTGTTTTTAATATCAGACTCCTAATTCAAATAGCCTAAAAGAACTATAATCTGTTTCTAATATATCAGAGTTATAATATTTAATATTTTTTTTTTCTAGTTCAAAACTTTTAGCAGCCTAGTTAGTAGTACCTTTTAATTAAGATTCTTACTTATCTAATTTCTTCATATTAATATCTATTTCTAGATCTAATTTCTACAATAGTATTATTAAAGATTTGTATTATTTTTTTACTTAATTTTTTTTAAGTAGGTTTTAGCTTTTTAGTTTTACAGATTTATACAATTATAAGAACTTATTTTGGATTTGCACTGCCTATTACTGGTTTGCATTTCTCTGTATAACTAATTATACAGATGTCTTATAACCTGCCAGTTATATTAGTATGACTATAGTTACAGATATTTTATCTTAACTGATTAACAAAATATTGTCATCATAATACTGTCTATAATTATATAAATGATTATCCAAATTTTTATTATTATTAGGTTTTGAACTCAGATAAACTTTTTCTGATAATTATTTGGACCAAACTTTTCAAAATGCTGAACTATAAAAAAATGATATAGTTAATATATTAAACTTTATGAAAACTTCTCTAAAGCACTAAGTATACATAGTAGGCATTAAAATAGAGTTGAAAAAGAAGCTATTACTTTATGATGATAGTTTAAAGAAGCTCTAGAACCATAGAAGAAGTGGTTGGTAAAAGCCAAAAGTCTCTCATAAAATAAACAACAGTGTTGAATATATTATTTTTATACAACTGTAAACTTATAAGAAACTCCTAAAAGAGTTAAGCATCATAAAAGCTATAGTTTAATTTACCTTACACTTTCTTTTTTTTTTAAGAAAAATTTTGTAAAAAGTAAACAATTCAGTTTACTTCTTTCAAAAAATTGATACATAAAACACCAAAACAGTTAGCAGTATTTATCTTCTAATCAGGATTGTATAAACAATACAGCAATACAAACATACCATATATATATGCCTCAAACTACTAAAACTCTATAAAATACTGTTTCTGAACTAATCAGTATTCATGCCAACTCTCTATATTCAAGTCAAAGTTTTATCTTATATGGTTTTTGTTAAATATTCTAATAAATAGAAAAATAGTAAAGTTATTTCTATTTAGTATAGTTTATAATTTTTAAAAGCCTAACACAGGCTTATAATTGTGACTATCTGATAGTTATGTAGCAAGAGTCACATATATCTTTTTTTTTCACTTCACTTCTTTCCTTCTTTTATTTCTTGCATTTGTATTTTTTATCATTTATCCTTATAGTTTTGTATTTTTTATATAAGTTTTTTTTGTTTTTGTTCACTTCTTTACAAGAAAATATTATCTGATTGGCAATATTCTATTGTAGAGCAGTGATCAGATGTGGCTCCTGACATACTCTAATTTCTTTTAAAGTTAGACAGTCAGTGCAAGTAGATCACTTATAGAGACTTATAGAAGCACTTACAGAATGTTAGACCAGAATTTATGAACTAATTTGTATATATATAATACAAAAATACATAATAAAGGTAACTAGCAAGACTGCTCAAGTAAAGAAAAAAAAAAGATAGGTTTTGAACTTATAATTTATTATTTGAAGAGTTGACAATTTATCTATTTTACTAAGTTATCATATCTCTTATTAAAATTCTTAAAACTATATATATATACTAAATAAATGCATAGCATTATATATTTAGAACAAATATGAAATTACAAATTATATTACATTTACTATACTATATATATGTTACAATTTGATTGGATGTTAGTCACATGATGTGGCCAGACAAACAAACCTTGTATATTACTTTTTACAGAATAATATAGTGTTCTTCACTATGTTCTGAACAAATAACTATATAAAATTTCCTAATATATAAGTTTAGCATTACTTGGTTATTCTAATAGTATCTAAATACAACCTGTTATATTATTTTTATTAAAAATAGACTGCTTATCTAACTACTTTTTTTGTTTTTTTTTTATAATACCAATTGTAATATTTTATTAAATTAATATTAGATTAATACATTAAACTTATTAAAAAAAATAAAAACTCTTTTCAACAATCCTTTGGCCAATAACAACAACAAACTGAACTACAGAAAAACATTATAACAAGGTTAAAAAAGAAAATACTTCTGGTTCTACATAAAGTAAGTTGTTTCAACAAAACCAAAATAGATGTAAAACACTAAGAAGTAGACATTCTTGCAGTTGTTTGGAGAAAGATCAAAATTTTCTTTTTGGTAAACTCTTCTC